TGCATATATGAAGGGCAAGGGGAAAAAACAGACGATGTCACAAAACTGACTTGCTAAGAAAATTAAGTTTATAATTAATATTATTACCAAATCGTATGTTATAGTCATAGAAATTAATAAAATCGCACGTAAATATCATTAACGTAATTTATTACTATAGAGTTAAATTGTTACAAAATAATTCAAACGTAAGAATATTATATTCAGGTTAAAAAAAAATAAACGTGACAAATAACTTATTAAAAAGAAATGATTTTTATTTTAAAACTAACTGCATATACAAATAATTTTTTTGAAAAATAATTATATATACGACTAATTGTGCATGTTAACGACATGCCATAGGTATGGCAGTGATATATTCGTGCTTTATACTTCAAAATATATATAAAAATTCCAGTATGGCAATGGGGCCTTTAATACACTCAACCTATAAAAATGTGACAACTTTGGAAGCCTGTATCTGATGTTGGCGACATCGCATCGGTATGGTGCTATTAGAACTTTGTTTAGGAAATCAAAATTAAAAAAGAAGACAAATTTTCATGGTAGGGCCTATAATACATGTTCAGTGCTAAAATAACATGTTTGCCCCAATATGGCGGCCACTTGGCGACGCCCCAGAGGTATGGCGTTTTGAAATCTTTGTTCTACAGCTCATTGTTAACCAATATCACGAAACAACAGCGTGGGGCCCATGGTACATGTCCACAGTGAAAAATTACGCGTTTCGGTAAGTATGGCGGACCTCATGTGACGCCATATTGGTATGGCATATTGAGTTCGCGGACTTTGGCAAACTCCTTGACGACATAAAACAAGAATTAAAGTGGGGCCTATGATCCAAGATCATGGATATTAATTACCCGTTTGAAAATTCACCCCACCTAAAAACTACACTTTAGGAGTGCCATACCGGGAATTCAAAGTGGGGGATAACGTTGTATATCAGCCCCCAAAGTCTCGTCGTGGGGCCTATGATACATGCAAAAACCCTCTCGGCTTCCTGTCTATAAGCAGTGAAAGCTCAATCTTGATCAAATGGCTGCTTCTTATTATCGCACTAAATGCTAATATTAGCCATAAAATGGAGTATAATGCTAATGATTTTAGGCACCAGAAACGCAGAAAGTGCCAATTCTGGTCACCGTTTCTTATTAGCATAAACTCTAATAAGCCACAAAATCTTCTTGCGTGCCAAATCACGCGCACCTTTTTGGCCAGAGTTACGTAATGATGACTACTTCTAGAAGCTTTGGTGTTACTTGGGAATGCAGATAAATAGCTTCGTCTACTTATTCCTGTCATCACCTCGACAAAAAGTAAATTAATTTGATTTTTAATGTAGCAATTAATTTTGATAAGGTATCTATATCATTGTCAGTGACAGTGACAGCAATTACCAAATTTATTTTTGGATATCAATTATTAATACATTACAAAAATAATTAATAATTTGTGTTAGAAAATCTATTATTTTATAAAGAATTTTTTTGGTAATGTCTGAAAAGATATTCAGAAGACTTTTGAAATGATATATTACAACACCCACATTTTCATTTAAAAAATTTATCGATGACGTCATTACGCTCACATAGATGACGTCAAAAATAAAAATGTATTCTGACGAAACGCCCGAATACAAATAAAAATGGACGGTTTCAGGATTTTTCTACAAAATAATAAATATATTCCTTTTACTGAAACCATACTGTACATAAGATGTCACATTAGGTGAAAGAGGATTAAAAATAGAAACGAAAAATTTCTAAATTTACAGGTTGTCCCATTTAAAAAACAAGTTTATACTACATTCTCTTTTTTTTTAGTGGAACTCCCTAAAAAAGTATGCAGGTCAAATAAATTCTGCCTATACTCGTGTATATACAGTGATCTTAAAGTTATTTTTTAATATTTTTCTTAATAAAGAACTTATATAATCTTGTATTTTTCAACCATATTCAAAAATCGCCCTGTAGCTCCAAAACAAAACCACTTACTAAAAATTGGATTATGCCTCAGAATAACAAACAAATTAGTCGTAACACCTTGACTACTTTCTTTCTATCTATTCTGGTCTTGTTTTCGATATACATATCCTGCAAGACCTACCAATTTGGAATATCCTGTCCTAAGATATGGTTTATTAAAACATAAAATATGTATAAAAAATAATATTATTAAAGATTGCACCTATAGTAAATATTAAAATGTCTCTTTTCTGTGTGTTTTAGAGCTTTTCATCCGTATTTTGATGTTATTTCAGTTTTGCACGATTATTTTTTGTTGATATTTATAGGCTAGCCACATCTTACATAATTTCCACAGGATTTTGTCTATTTGCATGGCACAACAACTTGTTGATCATAGTAACACTTCCAGTGCATGACAACACAATGTGGAAGTAAGAAATATTTATTTTACGTTCATTTTTTTTATCACCCTTATTGTTGATCAATGTAATTTATGTCTATAGATATACATAATAATTATGAAGAATTAGAAAGTATATGGCGTTTAGTTTCTTTTTAAAACAGGAATGGCTATGGAACTCAAACATCGCTCACTGCTACTGCCAGAATAGTATATTCGAACAGAGTAACATACTGTACTTTCTCCACGGCCACAGACACAGTAGGATCTTATAGTAAAATGAAATGTCTGGAAATGTCTTTACTTGTCAAGAAAAATCTAGACGACAGTTCTAGAAGGTTCGAGAAGGTTCCAGCAAGCTATATAAGCTGATGATCCTGACGTCAGTTGTCAGTTTTCAGTTAGACGTTATACGTTAATAGGTTCTTTCGTTCGCTATTGGTGTAGTGTCCACCAGTGTAAATTACACCAGTTACACCACCTTATTTACCCTAATTTACTTCCTCCTTATTCCTTATACACATCGTCGAGTGTAATTCACTCCTGCTAAATAGCTGGTGGAGAAAATGTCCACCAGTGTACACCACATCGCCGACAGGAAGGTATAGTGGGTTTTACACCGGACCAAACGAAAGGTATGGGTGTGGGTTGGTGTAGTTCATTACTACACCCAACTACACCAGTGAGACGAACGAAAGAACCTAATGTTATCAGTTGCAGTGGCGTAGCTAGCCATTTTTCATGGGAGGGGTTTTAGAGAACTATGGGGGGGGGGGGGGTTTCATCAAGAGAGTGAATAATAACAAACAGTCAATAGCGATCAGCGCCAATACTATAGCGGAAATAGTGACGCGAGGATCTTTCTGACCTTCAAACCCCCCCTGTGGCTACACCACTGATCAGTTGCATAGTTATTGTAAAATTTGAGTTGAAATAAGTTGAGATACCAAAAACTTGCGTAACAATATTCACCAATTTTTTAATTTAAGTTTCGACAAACGCCGCTTATCTTTATTCAGGCAAATTCAGACAATATTAATCCGTCGCGTAGAATTATTAGTCATGAAATTCATGACTAGCTAGGTATTCATAGTCATTGGCCAGTAGCTATTACATAATGGACATTCTGTCTCTAGAGTTACAATGAAATACGTGTAAAATATATAAAAAGAAAGTGTTGCAGAATTTTCCTTCAATCTCAAGAGCCATAATGTTTTCTATCTGTTATTATAAGTGGCCGTGAAGAAAATATATTCTCTTAGTTGGTCATTTTAATGGGTTGAGGCGATGTTTGTAGAAACCACAATTTGCCATATTAGAAAATTAATGTCTTCTAAGTGACGGGTACGATTCATATCTATACCGACGGTTCTAAAACAAAACAAGCCTCAGAATGTGGAATATACTCCAGATCCTTAAATCTAATCCTAAAATGGGCTGTGAGCAATAATGCCAGTGTAGTAGAAATCGAGCTCACCGGGATTCTCATAGCAGCAAAAGAAACAATTTCACTGGAAGAATATGCTCATCTGTACATATAGCAGACAACTACTCACCCTGGACAGACCAAATGGATAGTACTAAAATGTCACGAAACTTTAGCTGAATTATTCATCAACAATGTGGTTATCTTAAGATGGATCAAAGGTTACGCCATACCGAAACGTTCTCGTCTTGCTGATTCACTAACCAAGAAGGCACCAATCAAATACTTTTTAGACCTGGCCCTTTGATTGAACTAACAATATCGGTAATGTCCAACCTAATTAAAGAAAATTCTCTTATGAAATTCAAGGAAACGTAGAATGAATCCAGAAGCCACCGAGTTTCCAGGGAGCTTTTAAGTAATCCTGACAGCACCACAACACCGGTCGATAAAGGAGAAGCATTTCTCTGTGACGTTGTCAACTATATCAAATCTGTAGGCTGGCTGACGAGCTAACAGGAGCGTAAATGCGGTGGGTTCTGCGTTTTCTAGATAGTCTGGCAACTCGTTCTATAAGAACCGTGATCTGAATATGTATCCGTTAATATTTATATTATGACTATCTACTAAAAAAACACTAGAAGTAAAAAAAAATTCAAAATTAATTTGTAAAACTAATGATGCTAAAACTATTTATGATGTATACAAAAGTTTGGGGTCTAGAGGATAACAACACCTATACACATTTTTTTCTTGCAAAGTTTAATATGACCACATATAACTATTTAAATGATATGTCGATTTTCAATTTAAAACTACAGTAGGGTATAATTTATTTTTTACGCTCTCTTATAAATATGAGTAGATAAGTAGGGTCTAACTGACCTGTTTGTTATTACAAAATAATATCAGGTATAATTAATTAATACTAAAAAAGATATTATCAATATGTAAATTACTTTAGGTCATCATTACATCCAATTAATTATTATATTCTTGTAGAAAAAGGACCAACCGATAAACTAAGAATTATTTAAACATAAGATTGAATGAGACCCTTTCACGCCTTCATCATACTTGTATATCTTTTAATATAACATAGATCTAAAAACAAGTCTTAAACCTTCTTTCTATAAAATAATGTTAAAGACGTAAATTTAATTTTTTTTTTAACAAAAAATAACAATAGTAACTTTTACAGGCCGATCAAATTTGCTACTCAGTACTTTGCGTATTTTCCTACGTAGCAGCTGGATCCGACAAACCCAAGGCCAAAAAATCTATAGACGTCACCCACCTTCACCTTACTTCCACCGTAAAAACGGCCAGCCCAGCAGAAGAACAAGCACCTGCAGCTCTGACAGTCCCGCCTTCTTCCAGTCCCGAACCTGGATCGGTCACACCCGTAGGTGGTCCTCCGAAGTACCCGCCACCAGCGTTACCTCCTGGCGTGGCGCCACCCGCGCCGCCTCCCGGAACTAGGACTTTACAATCACAGTTATCTCTGCCTTCTAGTAAACCTCCTCCTGTTCCTAGTAGAAATATTCCCTCTAGACAAATGACTATCGCATCCCAGCCTCCCCAGCCACCCCCTAGACCGAAGTGACCCCGTAGACGGTACTCGTTGCCTTTCATTTATGGCAGTGATTGTAAGGGGCCATCTTGCCTTCCTTGGGTGTAAATTTGTCAAATGTTGGTTGTTGAAAGGCCACCAAAAGCAATGGAATTTGATAAATATGTATAATTATTAAAAATAAAGGTTAGAATAATAGCTTGGTTCACTAAAAGAATATTGAACTGGATTATAACTAATAGTAACTATTTCGCATGCGCTCTAGTTGAAACGCATTCGCCGAACATAAAGAATCGAAGTATTGGTTGTTCTTACCACGAACGAAGCTAATATTTATGGCATTTAGGAGTTTAGGGATAATAATTTGATAAATATCAGTTACATATTGGTTTAAGAGTCCGGCTTGAAGGACCATGTATAATTTAGTGGCAGTAATGGAATATTTTTTATGTATAAAACAGTCGCGGCTTGTTGCCTATTCTTCTAAGGGACTACTTTTGAAATTCACCTAGGATATATAAAATATTAAATACACCCCACATAAATTACTGTTCCATCATTCAGGTTCTGCAAAATATGCCATTGCTTATGTTTTTCTGTTTAAAAGTGTTTAGGTAATATATCTGCTAATGAACTATTAAATTTATAAACCTTTACTGCCTTCCAATGCTTTTTGTGGTCTATCGTTAAAACATCAGTCTAGATAATGTAGTTTATATGGTTGGACGGATTTAAATAATTTTTACGTAATAAAAGAAGCTTATAAAGGAAAAGTTTCATCTAATATTTAACTACAACATAAATAAATTTTTTGAAATGCATTCAGAATTTTGCCCAAAAATGCAAAATATAGATGATTAAAATATAAAGTCATCCTAATAGGTAGTTTAAATTTGGATCAAATTATATTTTTATGAAATAATTATTTACGAAATAATTATTTATGTTGTCAAAGTATAGTAGTTTGTCCAACAAGAGTGGATATGATGGCCATATCGCAAGAAGACGAAATTTAAGCACGACGCCGTGGGCAAAGTGCTCAATCGGCTAAGTGCGATATGGACAATCTATTCGAGTTATACAATATATTTTTTATATGACCCACTAACGAAAATTTACAAATAAAAAAAATATTTTAGGTTATTAAGACAAAATAACTAATTATAAAATAATTTATGACTTTTATAAAATAAACGAGGAAAAAAAAATTAATTTAAAAGTCTCCAGCTGAGGCTCGAACATGGGTTTCTTGCATGGAAGTCAGATACTCTCACCACCCATCCACCGGCATATTTAGGAAATTTTTTTAATACTCGTAATTGAATTGACTTCATAAAGTTTTATTAAAATTAACAAATTATTTATAATTATAGTATAAATAAAAATAGAAATGCTATTATTTATCGATTCTACACAAAAATAAGTCATTTTAATGTATAATATTTAAGTTCAATAACTAAAAAATATACTGATAATTAGTTTGACAGAATTGTCATTTATTTAAAATTTTAAAAATAATAGTCGTCAGGTAACCAAAATAGGAACTGTGATTGGTGAATTTCATTTTTTTGCAGTGTTCTCACTACATCGAATGGATATAAAATATATTCGTTCAATTAATGGCAATAGTATTTTTTTTCGTTTTGTTGTCTGTGCATAGATGGGTGTAGAAAAAATGTTTAAGTACATTAATATTTTTGACAACTAGAATAATCGTTATGATAGTGACATTGTTCAGTGCTACACTTTCAATGCAAATAAATAGATTCTTTCACGAGGGCTTCTGTCTATAGTGTTTTTTTTTGCTCACGCAGGATTAACCGAACTCTCCTGGTGAGCCGTATTTGCATTCTTTTTTGAAGGAACTAGTAGTTGAGTTCGGGAGGTGGACTCTTTTTACTCTTTTCTGTCCTTATAATATATGTACAGATAGGCTACCCCTGCATAAATCTATACAATGTTGTTGTCGCTCTAATAAAATCATTGTTTCTTTTTCTAATGTCAGAAACATAAAACATATACAGTACTTAAATGGGATGTTTCTGGCAGATCAGTGTCATTAGAGAGGTGAAAATAAATTTATTAAAAACTATGTCCCTGGAAAGATATTTATAATTAAATATTTTGAGAGTAGAGGTATTTAGTCTAACAATAACAAGTAGAAAGTGTTGCCTTTTGTATAAAATATGGTTCCTAAAAGCTATACCATCTATGATAAATATCCGAGTGATCTATAGGTACATTAGCAATAGGTATTTATATTATTTTAAATTGGTCATCTTGTAACTACCGAAAACATTTTTATTTATATCGGGGTGTTAAAATAAAACCGTAAAAATAAGATAAAAATGTCGTTAAAAGAAAATTTCTGTCTTACTTTAGGTATTATGATTTTGAATACACATATAGCCGACATTGTTAATATTCTGAAACTTGACTTTGATCTGATGTAGCCAAATCCTTACACTTAAACCAAAAGTAGCAAAACCGGACGACAGAAAATGCTTGCAATGGGATTTTTATTGTTATAGACGTTTAGAAGCAAATTATATCATTGCCACCAAAAAAATAAAAAAACCAGATCGATAAGAAATATTATTTTGAATTTGACAGGTTATGCGACAGCTCCCACCACCGGGACATAGTACATGTTGTTCACCTCTCTCTCCTATACCTAACTACAAATAACAAGCAACCCACTTTTCTTCAGATCAGGGACTATCGGGGGGTACACCACTACCGAAATACTGGTACGTTTTCACTTTAAATCATCGAAATCACTAAAAATTTTCTCGAAAATTCCGCAAATCATCGATATTCATGGTCGATACCATCGCCGAAATCACTTCGAAATCAATTCGTTGCTCTAAAACGTAAATGCAGCAGCTTGTGGATCAAGAGACAAGAGAATAGTCCATAAAATGGACCTTGTATAAAATTAAGGTACATTTTCAGCAAAATCACCGAAATCAAATAATTTTTTTTAATTTTTTTCGAAATACGGGTACGTTTTGACTCAAGCGGTTTTCACCTCGGGGATTATAATGCAAAAAAGAAAAGAACAAAAAAGGAGTAGCTGGGTAATTTGTTTTGCTGAATATGTTTTTAATGAGTATTGGCTGGAGCCATGGGGAAACTACTAAGGTCAAAACGTACCCATATTTCGGAAATCACTTAAAAAAAATTATGTGATTTTAGTGATTTCAGTAATTTCGCTCAAAATCCCCCTTAATTCTATACGATGACCTTTTTTGCTCTTTCTTTACCTTTTAATCCACAAGCTGCTGCATTTACATTTTTTGAGCGATGAATTGATTTAGAAGTGATTTCGATATGATTTCGATGTGATTTCGAAGTGATTTAGAATTAATTTCGAAGTGAATTCTAGAAAATTTGTGGTGATTTCGGTGATTCCGAGTGAAAACACCAGTATTTCGGGTGTGGTTGACCTCTCAGCTTGAGCTTATTTGCAAAATAGAATTCTGATTCTTATTCAAATTACCATATTACGGCATTTAACGCACAACAATTAAATTCGTCTAGCCATAGAAAATTTAGATAAAGATATTGTTATGGGTGAATGTATATTCTATGGATTTTGACCTCTAATAAAAATATTTAATTAATTTTCATTTTTTATTTAAATCTAAAGATGAAAACAAAAAAAAAGAGTTAATTCAAATGATGTATTTATCTACATTTAATTTTTTTACATCGTTTGCATGTATAATATGTAACATGAGTGAGTAAATCCAAAAGTTTGGTTAAAAATGCAAATTTTGAAAAATTGAAGAATACCTTGGCATTCAAGCATTAAAAATAATATTAAAGTCTGTTAGTGATGAGGAGTTTCTTAGGATTTGATTACTGTAAGAAGAAAAATGGATGTTACGTTTGACAACATATAGAGAAACTGCCTTTCTTGTTCAGCAGTCCGTGTTATTTTAACTGTTGGTGGTGTCATCAGCAAATAATTAATACACTATTGACAAAACAAGATGTAACATTATAAAAACACAACAAGAATGAAAGTGGTTAAATTTGTGTTCCCTGAGGGTCACCTCATATTACTGAACTTTACCAAGATACTGAGTTATGGACAAATATATATTGTCTAGTACCATTATAATAAAGGATTCCTCATTTTCTCTGAAAATTGTCATACAGCTTAATAAATTTTTAATCAAAATATTGGATGTTGCTTGTTCCGAGCAATAATTTGCGCAGGCTCGTGGCTTTACAGGAGGGCACTATTTTTATGAGCAAAAAGAATTAATTATACAATTTAGTTTTCAGGACCCTCAGCTAAGTCCCTGAATCTGCGTATTTTATTTGTTTTTTTTTATCTGAACTAACATTATTTGATTTCTTTTTAACTAAAACGTTTCTAATTATTGGTAAAGTTTATAACTATCTTAAAACCATATCATGTTATGTAGATCAAAGTTTATACATAAAAAAATTATAAACAGGTCGATTCTGAATGCACTGATAATGCTTTCTAGGCTGTAAATATATTTTTGTTATTGTTGATCTTAGATCTTAACACAATATAGAATACCGGAGAGTGAAGATAACTGCTTCAAATGCGGTATTGGTTAGTCGGTTGTCGGTTCTTTATTAAACGACTCCAAGAAAGGAGGTTCTCAATTTGTCAAAATATTTTTTTATGCATGTTCAGCAATAATTCTTTACCATGTTGAATATCGTCTTTTTTACAATTTACGTCAATATCTTTTTTTACAGGAAACTACAATATATCAGGGATATCATTTGTTTTATTAACATCTTTAGAATTTACTTACATAAAATTTCTCAAATTCATCTAAACTGGTGCGGATTCTTTTTTTAAGTTACAAAAGATATATGATATATCTGCACTGTTCTAATTACATTTACAATTAATGGGATGAAATTAATCAAATTAATATAATTTTTCTAAAATCTAATTTGATTATTAATTTTTTTATTCACATTTTTTAATGGTTTTCATATTTTTACCTCTTCTAAAATCAAAGAAAAGATCATTTCATTCAAAAATATTTTTTTTCATTGCTCTCCTTCTAGTAACAAAACTAACT